CTGGACATAAACTACTCTTTCATGGTAAAGTTCTCAAGTGTTTAAAAATCCTTCCTTATTAGTCCTCAATTTTGGAGATTAATTAGTTAATTAATCAAACACTCTTTTTCTCTTAATTTGGATTTTGTCTAGGTTCTGAGTTCTTACCTCATTTTGAGCAAAACCGTAAGCTTTACTTTGTCTTAGTTTGTTGATTTGTGTAAAAGGTATTGTTATTAACTGGATTTTGATCAAATGTAGCTTACATGAAAAATCATATGTTGATATCATCGGAGCTTGATACAGGAGTAAACAGATCCAAAATCGAAAAACCACCCGGAAGCAAGAAGAGAAACAAGCGTATGGATTTTTCGAAATCTCTAGAGATTTTTTCAATGAATAATAGTGTTGGTTTGCTTGTTTGATCTAAGGCTAAGTCGTTTGTATGTTTTGCAGATTTACCTTGTGAAGTTGCACTTGCTGAATCTGTTGAGCACATAGTTAAACCTCAGGAGTATTTGAATTTCACGTGGTTTTCGTTAGGCTTTGTAGAGACAGAGATATATAATGAGCATAGATTTGGAGGGCATCAAACACTCAAGGAAAGAGAGAGATCTTACTCTGCGATAAATCAGACGATACACTGTGGTTTTATCAAAGGAACTAATGGGTTTCATCAAGGTACTGGATTTGATTTGAGCGAAAAGGATAGGGCGTACATGAAGAACTGTCTAGTCTCCGTGTCTTCTTGCATTTTCGGAAGCTCTGATTTTCTAAGGAGGCCTGCAAGCAAAAAGGTTAAAATTTTATCCTTTGTTCACACGGCATATAGGATTTGTTACAGTTATTAGTAAAGACTATGTGAGCCTCATTAATCATGTGGAGCTCTCATTTGCTTTGTTTGTTTCTCCAGATCAGTGAATTCTCGAAGCGAAATGTTTGTTTTGTGATGTTTGTTGATGAGCAAACACTATCGAAACTAGCTAGTGAAGGGCATGTTCCAGACAAGCAAGGATTTGTTGGTTTGTGGAAAACTGTAGTAGTGAACAATTTGCCTTATAACGATATGCGAAAGACTGGGAAAGTTCCGAAATTTCTGTCACATCGCCTTTTTCCTTCTTCTAGGTGAGGTTAGTTTGCTTGTACTCCAGCTCAGAACTTTGAATCAGTGATTCAATCTTTTTGACCAATCCTCATTTTTCGTTTTTCAGGTATTCGATTTGGATAGACAGTAAGATGAGACTTACTACAGATCCTATGTTGATTATTGACTTCTTCTTATGGAGAACAAAGTCAGAATTCGCCATCTCGAACCATTATGATCGGCATTGTGTTTGGGATGAGGTGATACAGAACAAACGGCTGAACAAATACAACCACTCGGCTATCGATGAACAGTTTATGTTCTACCAATTAGATGGACTCAAGAAATTTGACCACTCAGATCCTAATTCTCCTCTTCCAAGTTGTGAGTAAACCAATCACACATTTACTCTCTCTTGCATACAACATATACTCTCTTATGTTTGCTGATGTTTTCTCGATTGGTGTCTCTTGTTTTGTTAGATGTACCTGAAGGTTCTTTTATCGTAAGAGCTCATACACCAATGTCAAACCTATTCTCCTGTCTTTGGTTCAATGAAGTTGATCGGTTTACCTCACGAGATCAACTGAGTTTTGCATACACATACCTTAAACTTCAGAGACTTAATCCAGATAGACAATTACGCCTAAACATGTTCAAGGTAACAAAAAAAAAAGCATAGTAGAGATTGATCATTGGTTTCATTTCTTGATTACATAAATCATATCAGTTTCCTAGATCATAAAAACAATGTAAAGATTGATCAGCTTGTATATATATTTCATTTCAGGATTGTGAGCGTCGAGCATTAACTAAGCTCTTCCACCATCGAGTAGATTCAGCACCTCCTAAACCTCCTGCTTAATCCATAAAGTAAACATATTTTTCGACGTCTTTTGTGTTCATTAGATATTCAAGATACCAATATTTTCTACTTTAAAGCTCTTATCTTTGCCTCTTTCTACTTCCAGTGTATAGCTTTCGAGGGAGATGAAACATTTACGAATGAGCCAGACGTAATTCATTGTAGATATATCAAAAGAGCCATAACTGAACCAGTTGCTGCTTAAGTTTATGGACACAACAGCTACGGATATGTCTGAACTGCTCATAACCGAAGCAAAGGGTCTATATACATTGGAGGTTACTACTGTTCTTTGGCCGGTAAGACACTTAACATTTGAAGGAATGAGCTTCAGAAATTTATTGATCTGAATTGCATCTGAACAAAACAGAAATGTAAAAACCAAAAAGTTGGTCATTGTAAGTTAGTTTTTTTTTGTTTCGTCAGTTGATTCTTCTTTTTGGGTCCCTTTGTACTGCAAATATAAGTTTTATGAAACTCTATCACATTTTATAAACGAAAAAAAAACAAAAATCAAAACTGAAATATACCAAACGAAGTTCAAGTTATTTGGTACGGAAGTGTTGTTTACATTGTAACTTCCATCAGAATACTCATTTTTTAATATATATTAATTTATGCGGAACATAGTGAAATAAAGGGGATGTAGCTCAGATGGTAGAGCGCTCGCTTAGCATGCGAGAGGTACGGGGATCGATACCCCGCATCTCCATATTCTTCCTTTTTTTTTTTTTTTCCCTGTACATTATTTTTGATGTGAAAAACCCACTAGCTTGAATAGAGAAGCCCAGTTAATAGTC